GGTCGCCCCAAACCCTAAAGCAACACACCCTAAACCCGAAACCCTAAACCCTAAACCCGAAACCCGAAACCCTAAACCCTAAACCCGAAACCCTAAACCCGAAACCCTAAGGCTTCTAAGTGACCTCAAGGGCGCTTAAGGACTTGGGGCTGTCGGGATAGGGTTTAGGGTTTGGGGTTTAGGGTTTAGGGATTAGGGTATAGGGTTTAGGGTTGAGGGTTGAGGGTTGAGGGTTGAGGGTTGAGGGTTGAGGGTTGAGGGTCTACGACTTAGGGCTTCTAATGGCTAAAGGGGCTATGCAGGCTTCAGGGCCAAAACCCTCACTGAAAACCCAAAACCCCGAGGCCGATACCCCAAGCCATAACCCCAAACTGGAAAGCCTCAACCTCCTCGAGAGGGGTTTTGGGGTTAGGGTCTAGGCCTTAGGGGTTTCCTCTAGACCCTCGACCCTGAGCCCCTCAACCCCGAAACCCTTGAACCCTCGAAATGTTAGGGAGCGCAGACCTCCCGAAGCCCCTGAAGCCTTCTGAAATCTCAAGTGTCCCTGAGCCGGGGTTGAGGGTTTAGGGTGTAGGGTTTAGGGTTTAGGGTCTAGGGTTTAGGGTTTACGGTTTAGGGTTTAGGGTTTAGGGTTTAGGGTTTAGGGTTTAGGGTTTAGGGTTTAGGGTTTAGGGTTTAGGGTTGAAGGGTTGGTTTTCGAGTTTGGGGGTTTTAGGGCTTTGGGGTTCTAGGGTTTGAGGGTTGTAGGGTTTTAGGGGCATTCGGGTTTCAGGGGTTTGCGGGTGCTAGGCGTTTAAGGCCAGCCCACCTCGACTTGCAAGTTCAAAAGCCTGCAAAAACTAAACCCTAAACCCTAAACCCTAAACCATAAACCCTAAACCCTAAACCCTAAACCCTGTTATTGTTATGAAACCTTTTCTATGACTTCTGGGTCAACCCATACAACAGCTTGCTCCTGCTTTTGCGGGGAGTGGCGATCTATCTACGTGTGTAGGAAGTATAGGATCCCAGTGTACAAGTACAGGATCCATGTGTACAGGCCCTAAGCCCTGAACCCTTAAACCCTAAACCGTGAACCCAAAGCCCTAAGCCCTAAACCCTAAACCGTGAACCCTAAACCCTAAACCCTAGACCCTAGACCCTAAACCCTAAATAAACCCTAAACCCGAAACCCTAAACCCTAACCCCTAAACCCTAGCATTCCCCATGAAAACCTAAGGCCCCCGGCCCATCCAGGCGGAACGCAGCGCTTGCCGAGGCCACGAGGCCCCTGGAACCCGGGGTTTGGGGTTTAGGGTTTAGGGTCTAGGGTCTAGGGTCTAGGGTTTAGGGTTTAGGGTTTAGGATTTAAGGGTTCAGGGCTAAGGGTGCGAGCAAGCCAGCTCACGTTTAGGCATCTTAAAGGGCAAACATATGAAGGGCAAAAATATGGGACCAATTTGGGCTTCATGGAGGAATCGGAACCCTAAACCCTAAACCCTAAACCCTAAACCCTAAACCCTAAACCCTAAACCCTAAACCCTAAACCCTAAACCCTAAACCCTAAACCCTAAACCCTAAACCCTAAACCCGAACTGTTGGCAAAACTCTCGCGGGCTCCTGTCAGTACTCCCCAAGCTTGGCTCCTCGAGTCCCCCTCAACCCAAACGATTTAGAAATCAGGGCTTATGGTTTAGGGTTGGTTTAGGGTTTAGGGTTTAGGGTTTAGGGTTTAGGGTTTAGGGTTTAGGGTTTAGGGTTTAGGGTTTAGGGTTTAGGGTTTAGGGTGTTAGGGTTTTAGGGTTTAGGGTTTAGGGTTTAGGGTTTAGGGTTTAGGGTTTAGGGTTTAGGGTTTAGGGTTTAGGGTTTAGGGTTTAGGGTTTAGGGTTTAGGGTTTAGGGTTTTGTTCTTTGTTTCTGTTTTTAAGGGGGGTGGCATCATGTCGCCTGAAGACGGCCCTCGGCGCCACGTGCATGGCATGCGGGCCGTCCAGCATCAGGAAGGCCCTCGCCTGGCTGATCAAACCCCAAAAACCCCAATTCCTAAACCCTAAACCCTAAACCCCAAACCCTTTAAACCCTAAACCCCCAAACCCTAAACCCTAAACCCCAAAACCGAAACGCCAGGGTGCACGGGGTGGGCTGTATGCCCTGCGAGCCCAAGGGCCCGATTCACAGCCCACTAGAGAAAAAGACAGGGGCTGTGCATTATATTTCACAACACAATCTCGGAAGATATAGATAGAATATATATAGATATATATATATATATACATATATTACATATATGTATATGTATATATGTGGCATGGACCTTGAGGTATCATTTGGAAATTCCTATGGGTTCATAGCAGATTTACAATATTTGACTGCGCAGCATTGCTTCACTGGTTTGTGTTTGTGGAGCAAACGGCTTGCTTGCAACTCCAGAACCCCAAGAAGCCCTACAAACCTATGCAGGGGAGTGAAGCGGAAGTGTTTGACTGCGAAGGGCTGCAGCTCCTTCAAGCAGGTGACCAACAGGCTTTGAGAGAGCTCTCCCAGAAGCCCTTCCATCCGACAATATCCCTTGCAAGCAGCCCTACAAGCCCCCATCAACCCTAAGGTGTAAAGTCCCGGCCCTCTAAACCCTAGACCTTAAACTCGAAACCCTAAACCTCAACCGGTTTTGGGTTTAGGGTTTCAGGGTTTGTTTCTACAAGGTTGCCAAAGTGCAGCCCGAAAATGTGGCCGAAATGAAACCAACCACATGCCCTTCCAGCTCACATCATCGGTTGCAAGAAGCACTAGAAGCCCCTATCAACCATAAGGAGTAAAGTTAACCCTACACCCTAAACTCTAAATTCCCTAAACCCTAAACCTTAAACCCTAAACCCCCTAAAAATTTTATTGGTGCCCACAAAAGATCTTAACAAATTCAAAAAAGGCATCCCATAGCCTCTGAAATCTTTGAAGTCTTTAAAATTTAATTGGGAGGAAGCACGCGCCAAACGGACCCTAGTATAGGGTTTAGGGTCTAGGGTCTGGGGTTTAGGGTTGAGGGTTTAGGGTTTAGGGTTTAGGGTTTAGGGTTTAGGGTTTAGGGTTTAGGGTTTAGGGTTTAGGGTTTATAAGGGTTTAGGCAATCCAGAATTAAGGTTGAGCTCGCTGGTTTGAACTGGACCCTTGGTCTTTGGACGTAAAACATTGTGATCCACCCTCCAAGTTCGTCTGTAGGGTTGTGGGATGTAGGGTTTAGGGTGTTCAGGGTTTAGGGTTTAGGGTTTAGGGTTTAGGGTTTAGGAGTGAGGAAGTTACTTAGGGTAGGGTTTAGGGTTTAGGGTTCAGGGTTTAGGGTTTAGGGTTTAGGGTTCAGGGTTGAGGGTTCAGAGTTCAGGGTTCAGGGTTTAGGGTTTAGGGTTTAGGGTTTAGGGTTTAGGGTTTAGGGTTTAGGGTTTAGGGTTTAGGGTTTAGGAGTCCGCCGACCCTGGCGGCGTGTTGGATGGGAAAAGGAGGTGAAAACCTCCCTCTTTCCCTCCTTACCCCCCCACCCCCCCCCCCCCCCACCCCCCCCCACCCCCACCCCCCCCCCCCCCCACCCCCCCACCCCCCCCCCACCCCCCCCCCCACCCCCCCCCCCCACCCCCCCCCACCACCCCCCCCCCCCCCACCCCGCACCCCCCCCCCCACCCCACCACCCCCCCCCCCCCCCCCCACCCCCACCCCCGCCCCACCCCCCCCCACCGCCTGTCTTTTTGGCTTGCGCTTGTCCTGACCCCCCCAACGTTTCACAAGAACTCTGCCGAGCAGGCTGGGATAGACCTCTCAACTATGCTCCAGCGGGGTCGGCGGCTTGAGCCGGAGGCTCTTAAGGGTTTAGGGTTTAGGGTTTAGGGTTTAGGGTTTAGGGTTTAGGGTTTAGGGTTTAGGGTTTAGGGTTTAGGGTTTAGGGTTTAGGGTTTAGGGTTTAGGGTTTAGGGTTTAGGGCCCTGCCTGGATGCTCCCCGCAGCATCGCTGAGAAGGTGCCGGGACTGGAAAACGGCACCTGGGCGCGGTTTAGGATTTAGGGTTTAGGGTTTGGGGTTTAGGGTTGAGGGTTTAGGGTTGAGGTTTAGGGATTAGGGTTTAGGGTTTAGGGTTTTGGGTTTAGGGTGTAGGGTTTAGGGCTTAGGGTTTAGGATTTAGGGTTTAGGGTTTAGGGTTCAGGGTTCAGGGTTTAGGTTTTAGGGTGAGTTGAGGGCTGAGGGTCCTCCTTGTGAACCGAAGGATCCCTAAAAGGGTTTATGGGCTTATGGTCCAGAAACCGTCACAGGGAGTCTAGGAGTACAGGGTATATGACCCCAATTTTACGGTTCATTTGGTCCCAAAGGCTTTTTGGGGCTTTGAGAGTTTGAGCGCTTGAGAACCTCAGGCCTGCACCCTCTACAGAGCATCAGCAGCTCAAGGGAAGTGTTGCTGGCACACTCCGCAGATTCCTACGGCACCACCCAAAAATTAGCAACTCCCTAAACCAGGAAGCCACAAGGGCCACAACCCCTAAAAACCGTAAACCCTAGACCCTGATCCGGTCAGAACTTGTCGAAGCAAGCTTCTCCGGGTTTAGGAGTTCAAGGGGTTAAGGACGGTTTCGGGGTTTTTGGGGGTATAGGGTTCAGAGGTTGAGGTGCTCTCGCCACTCGATGCCCATGTGGCAGTCCACCATACATCCGAGAAGAGACCCTCGCGGCTGACGTGGACTACATGTGGGCAGTTCTCGAAATTCTGGTCCCTTCACTGTCAGGCTCCGTATGTGAATAGGAACCTTCACTTCCTTGGAAGCTCCCATATGGCTACGCAGGGATGAGGGTTCAGGGTTTACAAGCTAGTAGGCTCTATATAGAATATAGAATTAGGACTATAGGTATTAGGATTCCGGGAAGGACTGCCGCGGCCTTGAACAAAGATAGGGTCACATGCTCTCACACACACACAGACACACACCGGATTTGCTCTCTGCAGTCGGCCAACGTCTGTATCTGCCGGCAGAATGAAGCTCGGTGTGATCACTCAATCGAGAGCTTGCCCCAGGTGAGAATGCCGCCAGTTGCGCAAACGGCAAGAAACGCGCTCGACATCGCCTGGAGCTGCTGAACGTCGCGCAGCTGCTCCTGCACGGCGCGGCTGTCTCCGCCCGAATCAGGGTGGCCCCAGGTCACCACACGACCATCGCCAAGGAGGGCAGCAAAGGCGCGCTCAGAGGCTTGAACGTGAACTACGTCCCGCAGTTGCTCCTGTGCAACACTGCTGTCCCCACCGAAGGAAGAGTCGCCCCATGTCACGACGCGGCCGTCGCTGCGGATGGCAGCAAACGCGGAATCGGAAGCCTGGACCTGCTGCACAGAATGCAGCTGCTCCTGCACAGCACTGCTGTCGCCTCCTTGGAGGGCTCTGCCCCAGGTCACAACGGAGCCGTCCCCAAGAATGGCGGCAAATGCCCTGAAGGAAGCCTGGATGCGCCGTACATCCTGCAACTGCTCCTGGACGTCGCTGCAGTCACCACCTGCATAGATGTCTCCCCACGTCACAACGGAGCCGTTGCCAAGGATGGCAGCAAACGCTGAGTGAGAGGCTTGAACCTCTTGCACGTCTTGCAAACCCTCCTGGACCCTGCTGCTGTCACCACCCAGTCCCCATATTCCCCAGGTCACAACAGAACCATCACCGAGCCCGGCGGCAAAGGCTGCATAGGACGCTCGGATCCAGCGCACATCCTGCAGCTGCATCCGGACGTTGCTGCTATCACCACCTCCAGCAGAGCTGCCCCAGGTAACAACTGAGCCGTCGGTAAGGATAGCAGCAAAGGCACCCCTAGAAGACTGGATCTGCTGCACGTCTTGTAGCTGCTCCTTCACGGCGCTGCTGTCACCCCCCCACCGCCAGGGGCCCCAGGTCACCACACGGCCGTCGCCACGGAGCGCCGCGAAGGCGCGCGCGGAAGCTTGGACGTGCGTGACGTTCTGCAGCTGCTCCTGTACGGCACTGCTGTCCCCGCCGTAGGCAGGGTTGCCCCACGTCACGACGCGGCCGTCGCTGCAGATGGCAGCAAAGGCGCAATCGGAAGCCTGGATCTGCTGCACCGAATGCAGCTGCTCCTGAACAGGGGTTTAGGGTTTAGGTTTTAGGGTTTAGGGTTTAGGGTTTAGGGTTTAGGGTTTAGGGTTTAGGGCTCCTGAACAGCACTGCAATCTTCGCAGCTTCGACTCACCCAGCACGCCACCGAGCCGTCCCCGAGGATGGCGGAGAATCCCCCTGTGCGTGACGAAGCCACCTGGGTGTGTAAGAAAATAGGGGACCCCAAATATAGACCCCCAAATAGTAGGATTCCTTTATACTCAGGACCCCAAGAATAAGGTACCCCTAGTATCCCTAAACCCTAAACCCTAAACCCTAAACCCTAAACCCTAAACCCTAAACCCTAAACCCTAAACCCACCTGGACTCTCTTCGTGTGCAGGCTCAAGAGATCGCCATGCTGCAGGCCGGCCGCTGCAAGGGTAGCCTGTCCTTTCACCTCCACCCCGGCGCTGGTCACCAAGGTTCCAGGAGCCACTCCTAACCTTAAGGACTGAAGCCCAAAAGGGCTTAGGGTTTAGGGTTTAGGGTTTAGGGTTTAGGGTTTAGGGTTTAGGGTTTAGGGTTTAGGGTTTAGGGTTTAGGGTTTAGGGTTTAGGGTTTAGGGTTCATATACCTTCATAGGGAGTATAGTAGTATGGGGTATATGACCCCGATTTTTTGGGGGGCTCTTTTGGTCCGCAAAGGAACTCCCGCTGCGCCCGCTGCTTCAGTGCGTCGATGGTGGAGCTCGCGTCCACTTCCAGGGACGCGCCCCTGCCGCTCAGCAGCACGACGTCCAAGCGCAACGACATGATCGTCCCAGGGTTTAGGGTTTAGGGTTTAGGGTTTAGGGTTTAGGGTTTAGGGTTTAGGGTTTAGGGTTTAGGGTTTAGGGTTTCGGGTTTAGAGGCTTGATACCAGAATCGAAAGCCTATCAAAGCTAGGATATCCTCTTAAGCCTACTAAGGGAAAATGTTGCATAAGGGCCTACCTAGAAAGGGACCGTTTACGAGAGCTTGAACTTGCTTAGGGTGTAGGAGTGTAGGAGTTGGGGTTTGGGGTTTCGGTTTAGGTTTCAGGTAGGGTATAGAGCATAGGGTTTATAAAAGGTTTAGGGTTTAGGGGTGTTTGGGGTTTAGGGTTTAGGGTTTAGGGTTTAGGGTTTAGGGTTTAGGGTTTAGGGTTTAGGGTTTAGGGTTTAGGGTTTAGGGTTTAGGGTTTAGGGTTTAGGGCTCCAGAGGCTCAAAACCCGAAGTCCCGGACACTGGCCGTGCTGCGCTGTCTTCGGAGCTCCGAAGCCAAGGGGCCGAAGACGCAACTCTCCTACTGCTAGGAGAGTTTAGGGCTTAGGGTTTAGGGTTTAGGGTTTAGGGTAGAGGGTTTAGGGTTTAGGGTTTAGGGTTTAGGGGGCTACCCCAAGCCCTAAACCCTAGCCCTAAACCCTAAACCCTGAACCCTAAACCCTAAACGAAAGGCTTTAGGAATCCCGGGCCCCGAGCTTGGAACCCCCCCAAAAAGCTTGAACTCCCCATTACCGATCCGAACCTCCCCCACCCTGCTACCCAGAGATCCCCAAGATAGGGTTTAGGGTTTAGGGTTTAGGGTTTAGGGTTTAGGGTTTAGGGTTTAGGGTTTAGGGTTTAGGGTTTAGGGTTTAGGGTTTAGGGTTTAGGGTTTTTTAGGGTTTAGGGTTTAGGGTTTAGGGTTTAGGGTTTAGGGTTTAGGTTAAGATAGGGTTTAGGGTTTAGGGTTTAGGGTTTAGGGTTTAGGGTTTAGGGTTTAGGGTTTAGGGTTTAGGGTTTAGGGTTTAGGGTTTAGGGTTTAGGGTTTAGGGTTTAGGGTTTAGGGTTTAGGGTTTAGGGTTTAGGGTTTAGGGTTTAGGGTTTAGGGTTTAGGGTTTAGGGGCCTCTAGAACAGGGCTGTGGGGGCTATTATCGTATAGCCATAAGGGGACCACAGGGGAATAGCATAAGTAACTCTTCCGACCCCTACAGTAAAGACCCCCGAGCTTGAACGAAGAAGCCGGAAATCTTCATACGGGCTCGGGCTCGGGGTTTAGTGCTTAGGGTTGAGGGCTTCGGGATGCAGAGCCCCGTAAACCCTGAGCCCTAAACCCTAAACCCTAAACCCTAAACCCTAAACCCTAAACCCTAAACCCTAAACCCTAAACCCCTCAAAACCCTCAAAACCCTAATTTCGTGAGCCGGCTCTACCGGCTCGACCCAGGCACTTGCCATGAGGCGCTGGAAGCCAAGGCCATGCATCTCTCCTGATGATTCGTTATAGGCTTTAGGGTTTAGGGTTTAGGGTTTAGGGTTTAGGGTTTAGGGTTTAGGGTTTCGGGTTTCGGGTTTCGGGTTTCGGCTTTAGGGTTCAGGCTTGGCGGGGGGGCGGGGTTAGGGCTTCCCAATGTGGGAGCTTTGGGGGCTTTAGGGGCTTTAGGGGCTTAGAGGCCTAAACCCTAAACCCTAAACGCGCAGGGGTTTGGGCCTCATGCGCCCAGGCTTCGGGTCCTAAACCCTAAACCCTAAACCCTAAACCCTAAACCCTAAACCCTAAACCCCTGGCTGCAGCTGAGTGGCGATAGCCTTCGGGCACGGAGCCCAGGAGCACCTGGGAGTTCAGCCACTTCCAAGCTCCTCCTAAACCCTCAGCTTGGGATGTTCCCCCTCATGCTAACATTAGGGTTTAGGGTTTAGGATGTAGGGTTTAGGGTTAGTAGGGGGTACTGTAATCTCTACTTCGGACTGTCAGTATAAGGGGGCACATCCTAAACCCTCGGCCCCAAAACCACTTAAACCCCTCAACCCCTAAACCCTATAAACTCCTAGTCCCAAACCAACACCTAAACACCTAAATCCGCTACACCCCCAGACCCCAAAGCCCCTGAAAACAGCCCGCAAGAGAGCTCTCTGCTGGATGGTTCTTAATAGGGAATGAGGTCCCTACAGGATCCCTGAAAGGGTATGTATACGGGGATATAGGGTACATGTAGAATCCCTCAGAGGGTAACTTAGGTAGGGGATAGAGGGTACCGATGTGATCCCTTAAAGGCTGTAATGTTAACCTCGTATTATTGAACCCCCTGATATTAAAGTGCGCCAGGGGTCCCGGCCGCAATAATAAAGCCCTGGGAATAAAGTACGCCAAGTCGGGGCTGGTTTTTTTTGGGGGAGTTTGATTGAAGGGGGGCTCTAAGGAAAGGAATCCTTATTCAAAGGGGCCCTACTCTATTTGGGGGGGTTTGATTGAAGGGGGGGGGGGTTTATTATTACGAGGTCAACATTATATAGGGCTGTACTTCCCTTATTCCTTACTACGAGACATGGAGTCTGGGTCGCGAGCTGCCCACCCCAACGCCACCAGCGACACGGTCCGGCCGCAGTGGACCAGCGCAGGGGTTGACTCCTGCGTTTAGGGTTTAGGGTTTGGGGTTTAGGGTTTAGCGTTTCGGGTTTAGGGTTTAGGGTTTGCGTAAGGTTTGGGGGGTTAGGGTTTAGAGTGTAGGGTTTAGGGCTTTAGGTTTGGACCCTAAACCCTCAAAGCTCCAAAGGCTTGGATTTTCTGACTTGGATTTGAAACCATGAAAGCTCCAGTGGGTGGGGGGGGGGGGGGGGCTGAGGGGTTGGAACGTTTAGGGCTGTATGTGTATATATATATATATAAAGAGAGTGTTTGATCTGTATGAATCTCATCTATGTATATAAACATGCATGTGTGAATGTAAGAATCTCGAAATAAAGAGAGGCGAAGGGCTTAAGAGCCCTCAAAGGTCCAATGGTTGAGGGTTGAGGTTGGGGTTGACGCAGCCACTTCCTACGATTTGCAAATCGCACACCCCGGACCCTCCCGGAATAAAATCCCTAAACCCTCTAAACCCCATAGCATCCCTCCCATGTAGGGATTAGGGTTTCAGGTCTCGGGTTCCCTGAGCCCTACGCCCTAAGCCCTAAGAGCCCTAAGAGCCCTAAGAGCCCTAAGAGCCCTAAGAGCCCTGAGAGCCCTAAGAGCCCTAAGAGCCCTAAGAGCCCTAAGAGCCCGAAGAGCCCGAAGAGCCCTAAGAGCCCAAAACCCGAGGCCCCAAACCCTGCCAGCCCTACAGGCCAGCCTTGGGGTGGGCCGCGTGGTGGCAGATGTCCAGCCAAGAGCCTCGACCCAGAGCTTTTTTAGTGACAGCTGGCTTCAAAGGCCAGGCATCCGGGGCTTGTGGTGTGTTTAGGGTTGAAGCTGGACGTGTGATTTATCTGGCTCATTTAGGGCTTCTTGTGTGTTGACTTCGGATTTGGGGTTTCGGGATTCGCCTGGGGGGAAGTCTGGACCCCAAACCTACTTTTGGGGCTTCGGGTTTTTGGAGCTTAGGGCTTAGGGTTTAGGAGGTTTTTGTGCTGACACCCACAGTGATGAGGCTCCGGACTCAGATGGGAGCTTCATGGTGCGCAGACTGTGCACAAGGTTCCCTAAACCCTAAACCCTAAACCCTAAACCCTAAACCCTAAACCCTAGACCTGTGCACAAGGTTCGAGAGGGGGGCGGCCTCAGGGTTGCTGCAAGGCCTCCGAACTCTTCGCGATGCGAGCAAACCTCCCCAGAAAACCCTGGGGCCCCAATCTTAGTTGTCCAGTAAACCCTAAACCCTAAACCCTAAACCCTAAACCCTAAACCCTAAACCCTAAACCCTAAACCCTAAACCCTAAACCCTAAACCCTAAACCCTAAACCCTAAACCCTAAACCAAATTTTAATTGTCCAGTCACCTGGGGGAACTAAAAGTTAACCTTTTGGGAATATAAGGGGGTTCTGTTACCCCAAAAAAGTTTAAAGGTCACATAGTCTACAACGAAGCAATATTTCGTATTTGAGGGAAGATACCTTCAAATCATAGGGATCCTGTACACATTAATAAAAAGAGATGTGACAAGAAGACTGAACTAATTTTCAGGCGTAATAATGGTGGATTTCCTAGATATGTAAAGAAGCCAAGTAAAGATTTTTGTACCAGTTGGTAAGGATATTCAAATTCTAACTCCAGTAAAAAAGGTCCTGCATCACTTTCTTAACCTCCAGTTTGCATGTGATGCCCCCAAACAAGACTTCCAAGAAGAGAAATAGATGACATGGCAAAGGTCGTTGATTGGCTACCAAAGATTATTACTTGTAAAACCCCAGAAATTTTTATGGAAATGATCCCAAATGCAGGAATTATTAAGATGTAAACTTCTTGATGTCCAAAAAAACAGAAATCCATGTTGATAGAATATAGGATCTCCTCCAAATATGGGATCAAAGAAAAGTGTATTAGTTAATAAACGCATGCAAGCTGTAATCAAGAAAGCCCGAGGAAATAATGGGATAGCCTTTAAAGTCAGACTATAAGGTCTCAGATTTAGAATTGTTGTCCAAAAGTTAAGAGATGTAAGACATGAAGATATACCAGAGATTAAGAATCCAAATATAAGATTTCCTGTACTTGAAGGTGATAAAGTCAAAAAAAGAAGCGGATAATGGTGGAAAAATGTTCATCCTGCACCACCTCCAAATTCTGAGATTATAGAAAGGATTAGGAAAAGATATGAAAGTAAAAGAATTAAGATAGGAAAATAATTGACTCTGGGATATGCCACTTCTGGAGAACCTTGAAAGATAGGTACATAATAGTTTCCAAAATTCCAAACAAGCCAGGCATTACTAAAAAGAAGATCATAAGAAAGCCACGCAATGTAATGCTTTTATTCTAGAAGGTCTGGTTCTCCGGAGATATAACCCTATTTCCTGATGAATATAATTCTATTCTTATAAGGACTGATATTAATGTT